TCCATGGATGCCAAAGGGAGTTGACGCTATTCGAGAGACTCGGCCATTTCTTCCAAACTTTCTGAACTAATCACAGGGCGCAAATCTAACAGCTTGCAGGAGTAGCCTCCTTCGCACAACCACTCCTGTGTCAAGCAAGCCAAGGCCTTACTCTTCTCCATTTTGAATGTAGCAATTCGACCTCTGAGGTCGATATCTTCCCATGATGGGACTTCTGGAGGAGCAACCGAAGAGGTCACTCATTTTTCTTCGACTCCACCTCTACTCTTGTCCTCTGGAGATGAAGCCCTACAAAACCATCTTACACTTATGATTGCTTTGCACTTGCCCTCCAACATGGGCACAAATGGCACTACAGCTCGAGGAACTCCTACGGACTCTCACATCTGCAATGCGGTAGGACGCACCGTGTGAGCCAGTCTCTTTTGGCAACGTGAGATAGGTCATCTTATTCTTTCTTTTCTTACTCTTCATCTATTGGAATCACTGTCGGGCCACTACCTCCTAGCATCGGGGGGTCAACAGACTCAATATTTGGATATGATGCCAATGTCAAAGGCCCAACTCTGTTTGCATCTTCATGTGAGGGGAGAGCAAGTATTGACCTAATCCACTCTAAAGTTGAACTGTTTGGGGCCCTCGTATCCTTACTTGCATCCACGAAGATGAAAAGGAAGATAACAGTTAGTCATGACAACATTCAGGGAACTTGATATCACCTCGATGCCTAGCCGAGGAGACAACGTGCTTACTAGTTAGGAATTTCGGCAAAGTATATGCTTTAACACCGATCTGGCGATCTCCATGTCTTGCTAGAATTCAATGCTCAACAAACAACAACTCTTTAAAAGTCGATGTGTGAAGACTCAACTTTTCTCCCACAAACAATTGTGGCATCATCAGAATCTCCCAGTCACTTTTGCTTCGAACTAAGCAGAATTTCCTCCTCCAGTCTCAAATCTTGCTTTGAGATCGAACAGCTTCACTTTTCTCGAAGAGAAAATCATCGAGCAATTGGAATAGGCCATTAGCGTGAACAAGTGTCGAAAGAAGTTCACCAACCAATATAATCTCAATGACCATGCATATATGATGATTGACATCACGACTGCGATCGAGTTCGGGCAAATATGAGCGAGTACTATCCCATAGAAATTCAAAATATCCCTAACCTCTCTGCACAGACGAAAGCAAAGAGCTAGTCTGAACTGGTCTTGGTAACAACAAACTTCATGCTCGAGCAGAGTGTTCAACGCCTCATCCTCCTTTGGCAACTGCAAGATCACAATGGTATCAAACACACAGTTGGATCGAGTGTCGGCCATAGCCATATTATCCATCCATCAAAACTTCTGGAATTTCGCCCCAAGAAATGTCGTATGACTGTTCTCCAATGCAGTAGCCATCTTCGGCAAGAAGAAAGAATTATTGTACTAAGCTATGGTGATAAATAGGGGATTTACTCCTAAAAGAAAAAAGAGAAGCTAAATGAAAAGTTATCAGGGTATTCATATCTTCCTAGATGTAGCAAAAGAATAATACTTATGTGCTCCTCGATGCATGTGTTGGAAGGGGAACGGATGTTTAAATCAGTTATACATTCCCACCTAACTACAGGTACAATGACAAAAATACCAATGAAAAGGTGGTTTGAATACTTAAAAATAAATCTAAGCAGAAAATTTTAATCACAAACGATTACCAGCTAAATGAAAACCGATAAGAGTAAAAAAAATAGTTGATTAATTCAACATCGTTAAGATTCACAACATCACTATATAATAGGTCAAGTTCTAATTGTGACAAATACATTATGGCAGATACAAATACAAAAGCACAATATGCCTGAAACAATCATGTACAATACAACAACGACAAGCCTTTATGCCACTAAGTGGGGCAGACTACATGAATCCTTTTCCTCCATTACGCCTAAAACAATCATGTAAAGTCAAAAATAAAAAAGAAATAGGCTTCGTTCTTTCACATCATCCAGACTGATCTTTTCTAACTGAAGAAGACATTGCAGGAACAAGCGTTCACCCAACAAAAACTATTCTAATTAACATGATTCAAGGCAATGTTGGAAGAGAATGAGCCTTGTCTACACCTTCTTTAATCTTTGTGAAGTTTCCTGACAGTTTGCCGAGGTTTTCATCGATCTCACCTCCAAGTTGGCGATAAGTTCTCTCGCATTCAGATCGACGATGATTTCCATGGCTTCCAAATCAATGATACGCTCCCTAGCCTACTATTGTCCGCCTGAATCACAATCATTTCCCCCCTCAGATCGATTGCAATCACCAACCTTTTGTCTATGCAAGGTACCTATCATTATCTGCATTGGCACCTACAATTCCCCAGCTAGTGCGAACACTTAGCTGGAAGTCAGAGCAACAAATGAAAAGCTGCCTCCCTCTGGATGCTAATGAGAAGCCGCCACCATCGTCACCTTGATCAAGGTCGTGAGTCCCTTTCTCTGAAAGCAACAATTGATCATACTCAGCGAGGAAAGAAGCAGCACATTGATCAAAGGAATCTACAATACCTTCGAGGGGCAGATCAATGCCTCCTGCACACATTCCTAAAGACTCTTACCCGCAGTCCTATCGGGGAAAAATGCCTGGTCAAGTCGTTGGTCTATAGATGCATTTACACCAAAGAATACAAGATGATCATGTGGTAATTCATAAATCCTATACAAACGAATAGAATCTATTTTTAATATTTTAGGATACAACAGTCTTACCGCCCTAGCTGAGTTCAGGAAGTGTCATAAGGCTAGACCCTTTTAGGTCGTTCAACATATCAAAAATATGGACTATTGCGGGGTCATTCAGATCGATAGTGATACATCCTGACGGAAGAGGTTCGGTCAGAGACATCACTACTTTAACATTTTGGATGACCTCCTCTACATCGCTCAAAGAAAGGCCTAGAGCAAAGGAACTCTCTATAAGATGGTCCAAGGTAATCTCCAATCATCCCGTCCTTCGTCGTGTCTTCTTCCTTCTTGAAGAATTCTTCCAGCTTTTTTTGTTGCAAGGCTGTCATCAACCTCTTCCTTTGGGATCCTCAACTTCTCAATCGGGATGCCATCCATCATAGGAAGTTAAGATAACAAAAAATCCAAGGATCAATTGAAGGAAGAGAAGGTCGAAATAGGATTCACGTGGCATTCCTATAGACTGCAGGGAAACTAAGGCCTGAAAAGATTTTATAATTACTAATATTATTACTGCCTTTAAAGCTTCAAACTTTTCTCCTTTTTTGACAACGTAAAGATGTTCAAACAAGTATCAAACTCTCGTAAGTAAATCTTTTTTCAAAGAACATGAAGGGTATTTCTGACAGAAAGAGAAGCTACAATTTGTATACAATGTTAGTAACACTGACGGTACTAGAATTTACAAATTCCATTTAATTTTCATCCGTTATAAAAATATTTTCATTAATAACATGTCATCATAACCCACCTCACTTGGAAATATGATTAGTTGATAACAAAACGGGTAAAGAGATGTGGACTCCTAAAATTGAAAAGTTTAAGTAACTTCTCCCTAAGGGCAAGCCGAGGCCCCTGAGCAAGGAACAACTCTATTCTTGCCTAGAAGTTCAAGTTATTACTCCCTAAAAGCAAAGGATAGTATGAACTCAATAAGTAAGAAACTACACTCTATACGCAGCTTGTGGCTCCCAGGCAAATGACAGTCCAAACTCGAAGAAGGTGCCTTCTAAATTCGTCAGACCACAAATCAAATTGTGGAGAATGCAAAGTCGAAGCTCCTTTAGCCGTCATAAGCAAGCCAAGTCACTGCATGGGTTGTCGTCTAAAGAGATCAAAAAACTTTTTAGAGAAGGACATGCATTTTATGTCGTATAGCCTTTCTAAACATCAATGTTGATAAATATTGAAATATTCATTCTCTTGCTTTTCTTGCAGTTACGGTTCAAAGGAACAAGAAAATAGGAGAACTATGTGTGTAAGAGTAATTGGCCTCCATGGGTTCAACAAGCCTATTTGACTAATGTCATAGTTAGTGGGTCTTTCGAAGGCATACTAGGCCCTCTTCCCTTCATAAAAACCTAGCCCACTCAATTTGCTCATCAAATAGGCTCACCATGATCATTTCGTCGAGCTGACTTGTCCGCCCAATTCTCTTCCCCCACAATGTCGAAGATTCAAATGCCATGTCCCTAGGAGGCAAAGTTGACTTCCCATAACAGTTCTCGTTCAACCAACTGATATCCCTCGAGATGAACAAACTATCGAAGTAAAGATTATCATTAAAAGGTTGACACGTGCTCACGCTCATTTATAGGTGATCTAACAACCGTGTTGTCATCCCTCCTTGGCATATCAAAAGGAGACCTCATACTGTACGGGGATAATTTAGTATCTTTCCATCTATCTCTCTCTCACCTTAGGAGGGCAGGGAGGGAGCCATCTAGAGTCGTATAAATAAGGCAACTTCCCACCTTCAAGGGGCATCAGATCACTAGCTGATCATCTCTGTCATCCTTTCCTTCCACCTCTGGCGTAGACGACGAGTTCAAGTTGGAGATACAAATTCATTTTCCTTCTTCTGCATCCTTCTTGCAGAGGTCTTCCCCGAGTTGTATGAGCCAAAAAATGATAAGGGACTCTGCATCCTAAAGGATTCAACTATTCCTAATCATACTCTTACTCCTACCCTATTCAAATTTCATTTCTCTGTAACCTTATGTGAGAAGCATCCCGATACGCTAGCCAAGGATAAAGAAAAGAGAAACTAGTAGGGTTATTATATAGCTTGAATGAAAACCGGTGCATAACTTTGGGATAGACAATAACATCTTATATCAGTTGCTATGCACTTTCATCAAAGATAGCCGTCAGCTCTTAACACCAGACTCATTTAAATGAAATCCCAAGGTAGATGATTTCCATTAGCAAAGCAACAGACAAAAAATATACAAAATCAAAATAAGTTTTCAAGAAACATAGTTTGATCAAAGACCTTTATACCAGACGGGCTCTCCATCAAACTCAGCTTGTAAGTATTTGTTCTAAAGCTGTGGAAAGAACATCCTTGTCCCGGCAAAAGTGGAACCCCGAGATTTCCTTTGTCAACGCTGCGCAAAGGGAATAATAAACTTGAGATCGAAGCAAAAAAATTAACAAAGAACAGCGGCGCCAGCGTACCTAGTAGGATCCATCTTGGCGGTGAAGGATCGGAGGGAGAAGAGGAGACCGAACATGAGCTTCTGATCTTGCTGGGCGTCGAGAGTGCGGAGAGGTCGATGCCATTCCCGGTTGAGCAAGCATACCCCGTTCCGGTTGAAGATGTAAAGCATGTTGGCGTTGTTTCCCGCAAGTCCAGTTGCGGTGCCAGGTGGCGCCGCCGGAGATGGGGACATCTCTGCCGCCGTTAATCCGCCGAAAAACTGCATCGTCGCCACCACTCGCCGCTCAAGTCTGCCTGAGTAATATCTATCGGTGGTGAGCAGGAGATAGTCGCTGGGCTCATATGCCCTTCAATAATTCGTTGGCCTCATATGTTCATTCTATTTCTATTTTAAAAGAAAAGAAAAGCCTTTAAAAATATTTTTTTTCCTAAGATGCTATTAAATATTTAATACCCCAAAAAAAAAAAAAAAAAAAAAAAAAAAAAAAAAAAAAAAAAACTACATACCAATCATTCAAAACATTTAATATAATATTTTAAATACCAAAAATTTAAATATAATATTTTAATAACTCAAAATCTTAAATATAAGATTTTAACCATCCAAAATATTTACTCAAAACTACAAGCCCATATTAAATATTATATTAAATGTTTTGGGTAGTTGGTATGGAAGAATACCTTCAAATTTTTGGATATTTAATCTCATGAATTTTAAATATAATATAAATTAATAATGTATTTGAAATTCATTGTCCAATTTATTTATAGTGTACTTACAATTTTTATAATTAGCAAATTTTATAAATATATTGATTTAAGTAAAAGATTGCCAGGCAACAGTGGTCGTTGTCTGCTGCTCCTTTAGGCTGCCCCCGGGGCCTATGTTTGTGAACGCCTTCTCGTTGCTCATCTTCAACCGGCGGTCACTGATCAACTTTTATGTTTATCGGCTTGCTGCCCCTACCACCCTTGTATGCTAAGGGTGTCCAAAATTGACACGACGTGCCAACTCAACTTGAACCAAACTAAAAAAATTCAAGTTTTGGTTGTCTCAAATAATTTTCGAGTCGGGTTTGGGTTAAGAATCCTTACCAGTTTAATTTTGCTCGTAGACTTTGTGTTGAACTCCCAACCCAAAACTGACTTGAAATTGGCCTGCTAACCCAAAAATAACCCATTGACCCAAAATTGACCCGACATTGACTGGAAATCAATCTGATCTTGACACAAATAATTTTATATCTGATATTAAATTATACAGTTCATGCTCGAGTCAGCAGGTTGAAATTGGGTCAAGTTCGTGTTGGATTTTCTAACTCATTTAATATTAAGGTCAATTTTGAGGTCAATAAATTTCAAGTCCGTTAATTTTGAGTTAGAACCAAACTTGATTCAACTTCTCTATTATATGCTAGCCATGTAATTTACATTAATTTCATTTTTCTTAAAACAAAAAAAAATGCATTTATTTTACACTAAACTAAACAACTTTAAAATATTTCAAATGCAATGCATTACTACTACACTGCATTACTTTTATAGTAAATCAAATAGCCTTTAAAATATAGTGATTGCAACTCCTAGTTCTCATAACTAAAGCAGTCAAAATGGCTCATTGTTTGCGAACAGTTCGTGTTCAACTCGTTAAGAAGCTCGTGTTCGACTCGTTCATTAAACAAACGAGCTGAACACGAACAATCTTTTGCACTGATATATAAATGAGTCAAACACGGACAAAAATTTGTTCGTTTATGCTCGGCTCATTTTGGTTCATCTATCTCAGATTACTACTGCCCTGATTATTAAAGTTTCCTACATTGTTGTGTTGATTAATGCCCCATAGTTAGTTTCTTATAGCTCGGTTGTTATTATTCGAATTGAAATTAGGGTGTTTCCTCCAGCCAAAGTTATATGTATTGGAATACAAATTTTTGTGTTTATTTCTTATAACATTTATAACTTTATGGTGTTTCCTCCGGCCAAGGTTTTTGTGTAAGGACATTGTTTGAGAAATTGTTATACTTGAAAGTGACACAAAATTCAAGCGACATAAAAGCCAAGGTTATATATATAACTTTATTTTTAACTCTTACTACTCAAAGTTTCAATTAAATATTGCTTTTAATTTTACAGAAGAGTTTGAGTAGCTCCGTAAGAGGCACTCGGCCACTCAACCCCAGATTTCCGTCGGCAGCAGTGGTAGTCGTACAACCACTGTGCAGTCTGAGTTCGAGCTTTGGACTTAGGTGACAGGGAAGAAGAATGGGAGGGTTATGGCCTTGGTGCAAAGGGCATAGCCTTCGAGGCCAAGATCTCTTGTGGCCGCGTACTGAGTTCCCCAAGCTCCTCACAGTTTGATCAGAATGCTTTAGTCTGGCAGGTCGCTGCAATAAACAAAGAGAACCTTCAGTTGCACGCACAGATGCTAAAAGACCGACATAAGGTTGAGGACACTATGGCGCACATGGCGGAGACTTTAGCAGATAACTATACATTTATTAAAAATATTTGATGTTTTGGTGCAGGTAGAGTAAGAAGGACCTATATATAATTTTTATTGATAAAGAAAAAAAATATGATAACGTTTAATGAGAAGTACTTTGGAGAGTTTTAGAAAAAAAAATGTGTTGATATTACTTATATTCAAGTCATTAAAGATATGTAAATTACTTGTATTCAAACACAAACAGGATTGATCAAGTATTTTCATTAGGAATCGACTTTAGGACCATATTTTTTTACTTTAGTTATGATGTTCTTACTTTATAGGAAGATATATCTTGGTGTATGTTTTCGCTAATGAAATCCTTCTTGCAGATAAGACTAGAGAGACCAAAAGAAAATCAAATTATGGAGGTCTTTTGAGAGTCTAAATGTTTTCATTTGAGAAGAACTAAAAATGAATACATAGAATGTAATTTTAATAGTAGTTGATCTAGTGATGGGGTTGTAACAATGGGTGATCAAGTCATTAAAAAGAGTGAATATTTTAAATATCTCAAGTTTATTGTTCAAACTGATGGTGATATAGATGGGGAAGTTATTAGTAGAATTCAAGTTGGATAATTGAAGTAGAGGAATGCATCAAGCCTTTTGCATGTTATAAAAGTACCACTTAGCATTAAAAGAAAAATTTTATAAGAGGGTGGTGAGACATGCAATGTTATATGGCGCAGAATATTGGCTTAGAAAAGATAAGCAAAAACTAAGTGAAGTGTTGTTGAGATGAGAATGCTCAGATGGATGTGCGGCTTTATGTTTAAAGAATAAATGCAAAATGAATATATCCGTGAACGGGTTGAAGTAGCTCCAGTGGCATACAAGTTTAGAAAGAGTCTCCTTTGATGGTTTGGTCATATTAAACATTTACCATCTGATGACACAAGTAGGAGAGTGGATGTTTTAGATTTTACTTATGTTAAGAAATATAGAAATAGACCAACAAAGACTTGGGCATGCTATATGAAAAATGATCTTAATTTATTAAAATTAAACTAAATTATGACAATAGGGCAATGAAAAAAATAAGGATTCATGTGACTGACTCCACTCAGTGGGATAAAAGCTTGTTGTTATTGGGCTATCATGCAGTTTATTTCTCACCGATGCATCTTTGAAGTAGGATTAAGTTATCAATTTTTATTAATTAAAATGCTACAAATATGTTTTATGCATTTTCTTTCTTTCTTTGGGATTTTTAGTTCTTCTTCCTTTGGTTTAACTTGGTTATATTCATTCTATCCTTATATTTTTGTGGCCTTAATTTGTAATAATTGTCTTGCTAGGCATGACCTTCACCATTTTCTAAAAAAAAGAACATAAATTGTCTTGTTAGACTCTTACATTTTGACTGCTAGAGTTATTTCTACAGTTTTTTGAATGTATATTCGTAACTCTTTGATTTATTTTGATTTAATTGAGACTATTCTCTAATTTTTCACCAAATAAAAAAATTAAATACATTCCACTCAATTCCTATGAATTTACACATCTAACACCTAAACGTAACAATTTATACACACATGCACGCCACCAAACCTATTCGTGAAAAGGTGAATTTCACATTTTAAAAGTTAAAATGAATGTATTTTTGACGTGAAATGAAAGATTTGGGGGGTATAAATGTAAAAACCAAAGTTTATATGTTAAATATGTAAATAAATAGGAATTGGGTGGTATGCCCAGAATTGTAATTCAGCCAACTTGATTAGAGTCTAAAGAGAGATGGCCAGAGAGTCAACCTTGAGATCTCTCCCTCTTCACCATAAACGATGATTTCTCCATATAAAAGTCTTAAAAGCTCAACAAACAAGAAAGCCATTAATTCAATTTCTCCAATCTCAAAGTACTCTTATCACTTCCCCGTTAATCCTGCTGCTATTTCTAATTTAACTTGCTGGATCTAAAATAGATATAAACGACACCACTGCTCCTCTTCTATCCCATTTTTCCCAATCTTAGCTCTTGAGCTCCTTTCTCATCAGGCAGGTTTTGCTACCTGTATCCATCAGGCTACTTCACAGATCCAAAGCTGGTTCTGTTTCTTTTAATTTTCGTCTGAAATTCATCTAAAAAGGAAGAAATGAGAAACCTGAACCATTCCACAAGGTTTGGAGTCAAGGAAGTGATGTATTCCTCCATCTTCTTCCTCTCCATTCTCGCACTTTTCCTCAGCATAATCACTCTCTCCAGATTCTACCCCAAGAACCCCTTCTCCTTCACCAACACATTTGGAGATCAAACTCCAGACGAAGATGACTCCACCCAGCTCTTAGACACCATCATAGAAAAACTTGTGGAGCAGATCAGAGCTTCTGAGGCTTTAACAATGGGTTCTGACGAGCTCAAAGATGCCAGGCTCAAACACACAGCTTTCCTTACAGAGATTTTAGATCTCGTAGGATCATTGAAGTTATCACTAGCTCAATCAAAAGAAGTAATTCATGAACAGGAAAAAACTCAACCAAATGAGTTCCATTCTTTATCAAGAACTAGTCAAAGCCTCGACGAAGCCGCCGAGTTCTTCCTCACAGAAGAGATAAGAAAATACGCCAGAATTAAGCCCAACAGGCTTGGAAAGCAGAACTTCATGGGAGCCAATGGGGCCTTCATGAGCATAGGCCATGCATGCTTCGCACTTAAAGAAGAGCTTGAAGAGTACATGGACTATGATGTTGGTGATTTCTGCAAGGATGACTGGAAACAAGCTCAGAGGCTGATGGTTCATGGCTGCGATCCTCTCCCAAGAAGAAGGTGCTTTGCCAGAGCTCCCAAGCTATATTCCAAGCCACTTCCTATCAAAGAATCCATCTGGACCATCCCAGACAACAGAAACGTGCGTTGGAGTGGCTACCGCTGCAAGAACTTCGCTTGCCTCGCAGCGAATCAGACAGGCAAAGGCTTCTTTAAATGCTTAGATTGCTTCAACCTCACTCACCATGAGTGGCCCAGGTGGATGGAAGTTAATACTACTGATTTTCTCATAGAAGAAGTGTTGAGTATCAAAAGAGGGGAGATCAGGATTGGGTTGGATTTCAGTGTTGGAACTGGGACTTTTGCAGCTAGGATGAGGGAATTTGATGTTACAGTCATCTCTGCAACTATAAATCTGGGAGCTCCTTTCAGTGAGATGATTGCTTTGAGAGGATTTGTTCCTCTTTACTTGACTATAAATCAGAGGCTTCCTTTCTTTGATAATACTCTTGACATGATCCACAGCACAAGATTTCTAGATGGCTGGATCGATTTCATATTGCTGGATTTCGTGCTGTATGATTGGGATCGAGTTTTGAGGCCTGGAGGGTTATTATGGATTGATAGTTTTTTCTGCAAGAACAAGGATTTGGAGGATTATTTGGAGGCTTTTAGCATACTGAGGTATAAGAAGCATAAGTGGGTTGTGGTGCCAAAGTTGGATAAAGATGGAGAGGAGGTTTTCTTCTCTGCTGTGCTGGAGAAGCCACCAAGGCCATTCTGAGGTATGCTAGAGGTTTTAGTGGCCATGGTTACAAAACTGTACAAAGTTTGAAAAGAAGATATGTTCAGGAGTGGAGGGAAGATTAGAGTTGGGTTTTGCGTTATTGTGGATTTTTTTTTTTTTTGCAAAAAAAATTGTATTAAGTTTTAGTATAAGAACAGGAGAAATAAATAAAAGAACTACTGTTATTTAAGAAAAGATGCATCTAGCATTAGATGTTGATTTAGGATATGATTCTTGTCTGGAAAGAATATGTAAATGAGGTAGATATTTGTACTGATGTTGATTTGGCTAAGGCAAGATTGTATTGAATATACACTTAGTCCATGTGGCCTTTTATGCGGGATTCGTGAGAGTTCATTTTTATTATTCCAGTTTGACCAACTTGTCTCAAATTCGTCCGAATTAGCCTCCACAAAGTACTTTGAATATTTGAATATAAAGTTAGTTTCCCGATTTTAAATATCATAAAATTGATGATGATTAAATAATGCTTATAACATGTGCAGTGCTAATGTCATATGAGGCATGGTTGAGGCTTAAAAAATAGTATTTCTCAACATTTTAAAACTTCATAAATAGCTTTTAGGATATTTGAAATGTTTTCATCCGTCAATGCTCAATCTCAAAAGCCTTTCCGATAAATCCCCCAGTCCACATAAACATGGATAAATCTGAAGTTAATAAGACTAAAATTATCATTAATCCCGCATTTAACAGATCAAATATAGCTGAAGATTGAATGCATCATATAGAGAGAGGCGATATATAGCTGAACAGTATTCCTAATTTTAGGGAGCTTATACGATCAATAATTTCTTGAAATTTAAGAGATGATGGGTGACATGTGTCCTGTTTCCAAGCTTCAGCCCCCGATCCAATTCCTTCAATGGTAAATACTTATGGATGACTATAAATTGTGTACTTTGAATTAGAACGTGGAGATTCAAGGCTGCAATTATGATCCAATATAAAGGATTCTTCCTTGTAGCTTTTGTTAAAGATGGTTGAGATAATTCTCAGTGCTTCCAGCAAGGACATGAGCAGTTTTGCTTTGTGAATGATTTCCTGAGAGGAATCCATTTCTATTAGCTCAAGAAGAATATGGATTAAGCTTTTGAATGTTGTAGCATGGACTCCATAGATTTATGAACATTCCTCCAAGTTTTATTCTTCCTGAGTTGAAATCTATGCTCCCAATTTATTTAGGATTCCTTAAAAATCATGCAATGATGTTGACTTGATGAATAAAAAAAATTCCACAATAGTTGTCAAAATTTCTTCTGATATCCTCAACAGTTCCTTGATATGAAACCCTTTCTAAAATTCTTCCCATTTTTTTCTTAATCTCTTCAACTAAGGAGGATGCCATGGGAAAAGAGGAACATTATGACCAGGTGAACTTTTTAGTAGAGTCCAATTGAGTCTCAAGCAAGAGGGCATTCAATGGGATGCCAATGTCAATGAGGATCGAAAGAATCTTGAATGTTTTTATGAGACAATTATCAAATCATAAAAACATTTATGTATGAAGCTAAGTCATTAACTATAAAAGTGATTGACAAACAGAGTCATTGAAGAAGGGAAAAGAGCGTAGTTCTTACTAGGTGGGCTTTCTAAGGCTGCCAATGATGGCATGCATCATTCCAACTATTTTGATTCCTTTACAAAATTTTATATAAATTCAATTTGGCGTGATGACAAGATATTCCATTTAAGTGACCCTCTTTTATTAGGTTTTTTAGCATAGCTTTCAGAACACTTCAATCTTCTACAGCATGTCATGAATTTTATGATAGTGACAAACCTTTAATGAAGAAGAAAAATGTGTATCTCGTATTACGTGAGCTTTTCTAAGGCTTCTAAGCCATGCATTTTTAGCTTCTACTTCCACAGAGACACTATGCATAATTCCAATTATTTTTATCTCTACACCATATGCTATACATGATTCTCTATCGGTTTCTTATTAGCACAATTGTCTACTAAGTGACCCTTTCTTGGTTAGCTTTCTTAAAAGCATTACAAAACTTTACAGTCTTTTGTTGCAAAGCCATAAATATTATGATAAAGATAAAATTTTGATTTGCTTTTAACCATTTTTTAACTTCTTTGTAGGTGACACCCATCTAAAATACTCCATACCTTGAAAAGTCGTCTTGATAAAGACGAGGAGCTAATTCAGTGAAGAGAAATAAACATCATGAAATATCATAAGAGATGCCACCACTTGGCCCCTCATAAGATCGACAAGTTGTGGACTTCAGAACTAACTTCTTCAATTAGATAACAGCAACCTTCTATTTCTCTGCAAAAATGCATACAGAGACAATAATGTCCAAAAATAAAATAAAATCATTCAAATGCCCCAATGATGATCCTATTGAAAGCAAATCTTAATCAAGGAGATTCTTAAAATAAAACTCCTAAATTTTAAAGGTTAATAATTTAGACATCACACCCCGAAGATGGCTTAATGACACAAATTTTCAATCAAAAAAATAAGTATTATCGACAAAATGCCTCAAATTCTATGTAAATAATTTTAGGCCTAAATTCAAATAAAAATATCAAAATTATAAAATTCAAAATAGTTCAAGTAAAAACTATCACGCTAAGTTAAAGAGCAAAATTCATCCATCCCCTAGAAAAATGTAAGAAGTCGATATCATATTAAACATACTTTTATGACCACTCTACAAAAATCTCATACCAATGACATCGTTTGTATCGTTTATCCATGTGATTTTGCTATCAAATGTCATCACAAAAGAAGTAATTAACACTGTGGTCCTCTGATCGATTAATTCACAACAAAATAACATTATTATATCCCCTTGAGTTAAACATTGTGATGACATTTGATAGCAAAGTAATTTTAAGCCTAAATTAAAAAAAAAATGTAAAAAACATAATAAAAATTATAAATTCAAAATATTTAAATAAAATATATAACCTTAAGTTAAAGAGAAAAATTCATCCATCCCCTAGAATAATGTAAAAAGTCATTGTCATAATAGACATACTTTTTATAGCCACTCTACAAAAATCTCATACCAATGACATGGTCTGTGTCCTAGATCCAGGTGATTTTGCTATCAAATATTATCACAAAAGAAGCAATTAACATTATGATCCTTTGACCGAATGATTCACCATAAAATAATATCATTAAATTACAGTCACAACCAAAACTTATATGTTTCCTAATAGCTTAGCCCCCTTGAGTTATAAATCATTGGATACACTTGATAGGACACAAAACTCTCTAGGATCTAAAGCGACTTAAGATCCTAGTTTATTAGTCTACTTAGACGACACAATCCATAACTACTGAGACAAATTTTTCAATCAGGCTGGGTGGACTACATCCATTGAATAAGTAAACTAGAGAGTCCACAATAGCCTAAGATAGCAGAATCATGGGCTCTGAGTTTGATTCACTATCATTCGCCTTGTCTTTCTCTTTAAGCTAAAGGTGATTTTTTATTTAAAATCAAATGCCTCTAAAATCAAATTACTAACATTATACACTAAACACATAGTAAATATAAAATTTAATTGAAAATTTTCTCTCATCTCCAAGAGACATAGGGACATCAGCATGTGAGAAACCTAGAATCAAATCATAAAATATTCGTAAAATGAAAACAAAATATCTAAATATCATCTTATCTAAAAATCTAATTTTTCATATTAAAAATTTGTCCCGAGATAAAAAAATAAAACTCTCTTAGGAGAGTTGAACAAGAATTTTTAGAGCCCATAGTAGATTTGAAGGGTGGTGAATCACCATGCCGTAAATCTAGGATTGATGGCACTTATAGACATGCTCAATATAGTCATTGGTCATTATGGGCCAATAAAATCTAAGGTGCTTAATTTTAAGTATTATTTTAGGTCTAGATTGAAAAGTATTATATAGACCCTCATGTACCTCATCCATCACTTTATAGGCTTCCTTGCAACTAAGGCGATGCAAATGCAACATATATAGTTGAACAAGCATTAGCACAGTGTTGTTCGCATACACAAATTACAATACATTATTTCTAATATGACAAATTAGAAAATCAATAAAAGGGGTCCTACAATGTAGCTTGACTGCCAAGATTGCAAGGGTTTGATTGAGAGGTTGATGGATGATAATTGAAAAGGGGTCAACTAAGAGGTCTGGCAACTCTTTGGCAAGCTTAGCAAGTCACATAGTTTGTCATTATTAAAGGGAGGATTCTAACTATGGTCAAGCTTAGGATGGTGCAAGAAGCTTATGAGCTATGTGATATATGTTTGGAGCTCATGCTTAAGAACTTTGAAGATTCTTAAAATTTATTTATGATTAGTTAGGAATATCCTAGGAACCTGACTAGTTATATTCATCTAGATAAAGAACTCTAAATCTATTACAAGAGCTTCATATTTTGTTTTATTATTGGTACATAACCCTAGAAGCTATAAAATAAGTGGATGATACCAAAGATTAGACTCAAACCTACTATAATTGTGGGGCGCTTATGCAAACCGGTGCTTTCATCAAGGATGCACCATCAAAAGAATAAATCTAAGTGGAGAACTCTTAATTCTCTGCACTTATAACCTATTCATTAGGTAGATCATCATTGGAAGGAACTCTGCGAGAGTCAAGTTAGCAGCTAGAAAATTACCAAAAGCCTATCATTTGAAAGTTTTTTTATGTACAAACATAATGTCAAATTTTAATATAATCATGGAGTATAAAAAGAACCATGAAAGGATCAAATATGTCATCAAATACTAAAGTGGGTTGAATGAATAAATAAGCTTGATCTTATGCGGAATATACATATATATATATATATATATATATACACACACACTGAGGAAAATATATTAGCATTTATGCAGCAAAGATTAATGAAAAACTATTTTTCTACCATGATCTCTATCAGGATAAGGCATCAGCAAAGGTAATGAATTTTCTTATTCTTCTTCAATTCCCAAACTAAAAGAGGGTCAAAATAATTTATTATAAGCAAAAATATAGATGATCAAAGGCATTCCCAAAATTAAGATCGTCAACATTAGGGTGTGCATTATATAGTGATTTTATATTTTGCAAAGGCCTTCTAACAATACTAGTCCCAATGAAATATGACATTCATTTTCACATGTACTATAAGAGGCTGACATCTACGAGTGATTATTGCATCAGGACACCAGACGCAACTAGAGTCTAGCGGGCACTTGCCACATGGCAAGTGGGCCCCATTGTAATACACATGTTAGGTAGGTTTTTTAGAGTGTGGCTCACTTGCCACGTGCCACACTTTCACCGGACTCCGGATGCAAATTTTGCATACGGATGCAATATTTTTTCAACATCTACCGGATATGTTACAAATAAAAATTCTTAGAAAAGAAATTTTACCTTGGAAGGATCTTAGCTTAATAAGACTCTTTGGGGATATAACTACAAGGAACTATCTCAAGGAAACTTCAAAAGCATATTTTATGGGATTCTTCTTATGCTATACTAATGGAAATGCTCAAAGGCGACCTGCAAGTCCCAAATATGATCCTACAGTCTCCCAAGCTAACCCACTTAACGAAATCAACAATACTCTTCTCCCTCAAAACAAAGATATTAGGGTTCATCAACCAATAACCCACCATGTGGCCTCTCTGTCTTCTAATCCACCTTTGCAGATTACCTACTCCAATTATCCTGCTACTTCAGTTTCATCTTTCTACCAACCCTCAGCCCTCTCCAATTATCTTCAGGACCCTCTCCCTCCAGTTAGAAAGATAACCCTAAGATTCCCACCTCTACATTACCCGACCCCCACAACTCCACAGTAATCCCTCCATATCTCAGCCTCCAACATTAGATAAGCATGCACATCAAGTTGTAATAAACAACTTTCTCATCTTCCTTATTCTATATATCAATAAGACAAAATGACAGTGAATCATCTCTTCGGATTTAAAAAAGAAAAGAAAACCAAAGCTGACCGAGATATATTAACCATTAAATTTGTTTTCACTACAAAAATCTAAATTTAAAAGTACTTTCTAAACTTCACAATGATTGAAGCATTCACAAAAAGGCCAACGTCTCTGTCGTCACCATCATTAACACTATTGCTGTAAACCTAATCAGCAACCTCATCTTTTGGAGAATAATTAAGAAAATATCAACCACTGACCTGCCTCACATATTCAATTCTCCACTAGGGCAAAAGGAAAAAAAGCCAAATAACTTTCCCGCGCCATGGGAGAATGGCTTCCAGCTCCCTCTGACGGGAACTACTGCTTGTGATCTCATCTTGATCCCTCTGTTCGCATTTTTCGCATGAATTCTCGGTTGCTTCTTTCTTCCTCGATTTGCCGACAAGCCATCTTCGGCTCCGGCAGATTACAAGGTCTTCACAACGCCGATTGATTTTTCTCAGGTGAAGCTTTTTTTTTTTTAGTTGAAATATTATCTTTATAAAATTAGCATATCTTACATTTACATATCTAACACCTAATTTTTACTTTTTATATTTATGCTGCTCAAATCATTAATATCACATCAAAATACTCACCCATTTTAGGTTTTAAAAATTGAAATACACCATAGGAAAGGGGATATGTATGTAAAGATTTAGGTTTGGGTGTTAGATATGTAAATACTTAAGAATTGAGTGGTATGTATGTAAATATTAATATCACATCAAAAAAATGACTTAATTTGGAGTATGTGTAAATACTTAAGAATTGAGTGGTATGTATGTAAATTTTCTTATATAGTGGAATTAAGAATAAAAACTTATTTATTTATTTATTTTTTTATCAAATTTCTTTTTATGTAGTCATGAGTGACATGAATAGTTTGTGTATCGAAAAATTCATGGTGGTTGAGTAATATTTTAATGTTTTGGCATTGCAGTGAGATCCAACACACACATAAATAATAAAAAAATAGCATGAGAAAACATTGATATTTTTTTTATGTGAAAAAAACTTGGAGAGAAAAAAAATCATAGAGTTGTTTAGTCAAAGTAATGTACTGTGTGATTGTAAGTACATGTATCCAATATCCTTTTGAATTTGAGAGGATGAAATTACAAAGTTGATAATCAGGTACATATAATAGTAGTTCAGTTTCTATAATAGCAGTAGTTGGTCACAAAGATTGTAGTTGAAAATTGTAATAGTAGTAGTTAGTCATGAATGTTATAATTAGTGGTTGTAATAGTGTTAGTTGACAAAAAAATGACTTAATTTGGAGTATGTAGCAGTAGTTGTTTATATATGTTGTTGTTGGGGCGATATAATAGTGTTAGTTGGCCACGAAAGGTCATATGTGAAACCACTTAAGTGGATTGAAGTCAAACTCTTAAACATCGAGGTATCTTTTGGTATAAAGTTGGAATTTCAATAGAAACTCCAAAGTTAAGTGGGCTCGCATGGGAGTAATCTTAGGACGGTTGACCTCCTAAGAAGTTACACCAACGAGGCAAAACAATGAGGCCACTAGGCCAAAGCGGACAATATCTTGATGCATAAGAGTTCGAGCTTTCACAAATAGTATCCGGGCATTATAGCAGTTGGAAGATGGGAACAAAGTGTCACACAAAACAAATTATTATACCATGGGAGTTACCTCTTGATTAAGATGAGACAAAGTGTTACATTGTAAGAGCCACCTCTTAAATCTTTATGTGTCATATCTAGAGTCTTCTCTGTCTGGGGAATGATTATCGATATAAAGCACTAATGAGGACATCTTGAACTTAAGTTAGGGAGATTTGAAACCACTTAAATAGATTGAAACCGAACTCTTAAATATCGAGGTGCATATTGGTGTAAAGGTGGAATTTTAATAGATACTTTCAATTTAAGCATGCTCTTATGGGAGTACTCCTAGGATGGGTGGTGATCTCCTAGGAAGTTACATCGATGAGGAGAAATCATGAGGCCACTAGCCCAAAGCAAACAATACCTTAATGAGTGAGAGTTTGTGTTGCCACATCATGGTTGGAAGATGTTGTAATAATTGGTCATTTAGGCCATAACTGGGGGTTGCAATAGTGACAGTTGGAGTTAAAGGTTGTAATTGGATGTTGTAGTTGTAGTTAGTCATATTTGTGGGGTAATAACATTTGCCGACCACAATATTCTTATTTGGAAGATGTAGTAGTAGTTGGTCACATAAGCCATAGTTAGGGGTTGAAATAGTGTAAGTTCGCCATAAATGTCGTAGTTAGGGATTGTGATAGCATTAGTCGATCATAAATATTATAGTTAGAAGCTGTAATGTTAGTTGGTTGTATAGCTCGTAGTTGGTGACTGGTCCCTTCTCTTAAAATGTGGTTATAATTTTACACTCATAAAGAATGATATAGATGCTAGGTATAACCAACATATTCTAGCTACAATTGTCATAAGAAGAGGTCACCGGTATTCGATGGCAGTAGGTGGTGAAAACCGACGGTGTCAACAACTATGAAGGCAAGAAATTATCACCTGGTCTCCAATACGACATTGTACATTACGAATGTATGTAGGATATGATGTAAGCAAGCAGTGGTCACCGACAACAGTTTCAGGGGAAACTAGCGGTGGATAGTAGCTGACCAACAGTGGTCAATAGTGGTCGATGGTTATGAAGGTCTATATTTATCATCAGGTCTCTAATACAACATTATATGCTATAGTCGTATTTAGGATACAATGTTAGCAAGAGGGTTCACCAACAACAACAAGTAGAGGCTGCAGGTGATGATCGATGACGACTGACAAACGATGGTTGACAGTGGTCAGAGACTAAAGAACATAAGTTATCGTTGGGACTTTATTTCAAAACAGGCTCTGGAGTTCTTTCTCATTTCTTCTCCCCTCAAGTGAAGAGAAATGTTCTATTTATAGCCTCTGGGTAGGGCATTTTTTTTTCTTTTGACAAATAACTTACCCAACCATCTGATCTGACGACCCACATTGATCCCACTTGATCAAAAGATTTTTGAATGATTTAAGGGCCTTAATGACATCTAAATTAAACAATCTTGGGCTCGTTGGATTCCTCTGTCAAGACACTCGATTGAACAATAAATGTTAAATTTGGAGTTCATCAATTGATGATATAAAACCTTTAAATGTGCTTTAATGACCTGCTTAGGATGAATGAACTCTCTTTTGACCTCAAATGACACCGAGCATGATCTTGTGGTGTTAAATCCAATCTAAAATATCTATAAAAATAATAAAAATTTAAGAAAAAAATTTGAGAGATTCATTTTGAAATGAAACTTCCTATTCATCATGTCAAGTTCAGATAATTACTATTCCTCCCATTCAAGCAATGGACCTCAAAAATCAACAACAGTCAATTTTCCTAAGCATGCCAGCCACACCTAAAGCTCAAAATCCAGAGCAACCTATGCTGAACTTGCAAGCAGAGCTCTCAGCAACGACGACAGATGAGCACAAATTTCCAAGCAAAAGGGAACTGAGAGAGAACTGCTATGAATCTTTCAAAACAAAAACCCTCAGTTTCGATGACAAATTCTCAAAACAACTTGGAAGATCTCAGGAGATACAAGACATCTCTGCATCAGATGCTGAAGATCCGGAGCAATTGCCTACAGCTGAACGATATTTTTCCGCCCTTGAGGGACCTGAACTAGAGAGTCTCAAGGCAAGTAATCCATCTCTTTAAACAACACAATAAAAACTACTTCTTCACCAAAAAGAAGAAAAAAAAACCATTTTTTTTCTGATCTTTCAGCCAACAGAGAAGCTGATTCTTCCTCAAGATGAGAAATGGCCTTTCCTTCTTCGCTACACCATATCTTCATTTGGCTTCCCAGTTGGCATTGGAATCCAGGCTTTCCTCTGAAAGACAATGGCTACATCTCCTTCCATGCACTTTCTTCATGTACGCCTCATCATCAGCTACGTACTCTGGAGCATCTCACTTCCTCTGTTAATCTTGGTGGCCTTCTTATACCTTCTAAAGATGATATTTTTCTTCGAAGCTGTCAAAAGAGAGTTCCTTCATCCTATCAGAGTCAATTTCTTCTTCACCCCATGGATAGGCTTCATATTATTACTAGTCAGCGCTCCTCCATCCATTGAAAAGAACTTGCCTTCAGCTCTATGGTATGTACTAATGGCTCCAATACTCTGCCTAGAGCTCAAAATTTTTGGGCAATGGATGTTGGGAGGCGAACGGAGGCTTTCAAAGGTGGCGAACGCGACCACTCATCTTCCCATTGCTGGAAACTTTGCAGTTTCGTTGCTTGGTTCAGCCATGGGGATAAAAGAAGGACCTGTTTTCTTCTTTGCTGTTGGTCTGGCGCATTACATTGTCCTGTTTGTAACGCTTTATCAGAGGCTTCCGACTAATGAGACTTTGCCGAAGGATCTTCATCCTGTTTTCTTCTTATTTGTAGCAGCGCCGAGTCTGGCTAGCGTGTCGTGGAGCAGGATCATTGGAAGATTTGATCTTTTGGCGAGGATGGCTTACTTCTTCTCTATGTTCATTTATGCCTCTCTGGTATGTGTTGTCTCGTAATTTGAAATTTTGCAGCATCTGCCTTCTTTTTTGTGGAAAATATTTAGGTACATAAGACACGTACGTCAGGGGTTATTCAGGGGGTACAGGGGGGTTATATCCGATATATCCGAGTTATACCCCATTGTAACCTCCGTGTAACTCCCATGTAATATCCGTGTAACTTATTTGTTCCCATGAAACTACAGAAGCGTGCAACTCATTTGTAGGTTACATGGAGGTTACATGGAGATTACAGAGCGTATAACCCCGATATAACCCCCCTGTACCCCCTGAATAACCCCTGGACGTACGCAGAGCTGCGTACGTCTTATGTACGCAAATATTTTCCCTTTTTTGTAGTACCATACATGCCATCTTATTTATGCCTAAAAGGTGCATTTTAGTTTTTATAAATTAACATGGTGATGTTTTTTATGGGTTTGTGCTTAGCTTGTAAAAATCAAAGTTTAGGTGTTAGATATGTTAATACATAGGAATTGGGTGATATGTATGTATATTTCCCTATTATTTTGCTCATCAAATTTTGAAGAACATGTGAATGAATGTAGAAGGATATTTAGTTAGAGATTATCAGGTTTATTAGATTATTAATTTGATTGGTTCTTTTGGCTTTTGTATTGCTATAAATATCACTCTATGCGTAGAATTCTGGCATATCCAATCATATCTTCAAGACTTTGAGAGTTTCGAGTGGTCATCAAAGTAGCTAATTATTTCTATCTTCTCTTAAAATATTTCCAATTTAATATTTTTATTTTATTTTTTGTTTTTATATACCAATCATCTAAAACATTACATATAATATTTTAGGTTTCGTTTGCGGAATGAAAATGGTGATATGCGATCTAAAATAGTGAAATAGTGTCATTTTTGCAAAGTAACATTGACAGACTTTTGGGAGACGCTATTTCGCCAAACGAAGGGAGTTTCGCCATCTTCTCGAACGAAGTCTTAACCTTTGAAAACTTAATAGAACATTTTAATCACTTTTTTCATCACAATCACCTTCCTAAACCCACTCATGGATAGGAAATATTGAAATCAATAAAAATTGTGGGCGTAAATTAATGCCGCCAAAAACTCCAGATATTGATGGAAGAGAAGTTCTACAACTCAAAGCAACTAAGGCAAAATGGAAGCATCCACCAAAGCTCTAATTCCTTCAAAAAATGATTATTATTGCAATGCAAATCAATATAAACCAACAAATCAACCAAATAACATACAAAACTTACAAATAACTCATGGGCATCAAAACCATACACCAAACCTTCAATAATTCTCACCTTTCCTTTACTTTTTTTCTTTATTTTAACTTGCAGGTTGTGTGAGTAAACTTCTTCCGAGGCTTTAAGTTCTCTCTGGTTTGGTGAGCTTACAACGTTCCTATGGCCAGTGCTGCAATTGCAACCATTGCTTATACCAGAGAAGTTGATAATCTCTTCATGAAAATCATATCAGCGGCTCTCTCTTTTATATCTGCTCTCACGTGCATGGCTCTGCTCATCTACACAATCTTTCATGCATTTGTTTTGCACAATCTCTTCCCTAATGACATTGTCATTGCCATCACCCACAAAAAGTCGGATTAGATGAGATGGGGATTTATGTATGGACGATGAGTTTGTTCTGTGATAATGTCATTTAGTGGATTGTAAGTTTATTGTGAGGGTAATGACCTTTGTTTGGTTGGGATGATGAAGTGGAATAAATAAGTAGAAATTTTGGCATTCTTTTTTATGTAGGAGAATGGGTAAATGGCTGAATTTTGTGTAGAAGAAACAAATTTTGATGTTAATTAGTATTGAGTAGAGGGCATGCATGTTTGAACACTACTACTTATTATTTTTATCTCTTTTTTTAAAAAAAAAACTATATTTCTTTAACCTACTTTTTATTTTTATAAAAAATTTAAAGTTTTAAGAATATTTATGTGTGTGTGTGTGTGGGCGCGTGCACGCGCACATACACACATCTATATAGGCATGCATGCATGTATATATTGATTGAAAATTTTATGCTAGCACTTAGGTCACACAATACTTTTACAAAAAACTTATCTCCTATAATGTAAGGGATAGTGAAACCATTCAGATCCTCCAATTTTTTTGAATGTTTTTCTGCAGGATAACACTACATTCTCAATTATGGCCACAGTCTCATAATCACATAGTTTTGTTTTGTTGTTGAAGACATTCTTCATGAAATTTACATGAGTAGGTATCTACTCTAAAGCTTTTAGAAATGGAATGTTATTTTTAAGTTATTTTGTACAACTTTAAAAACAGAGAGAACTATTGGTGGTTGTCTCTCAAAGTTCTTTTTTTAGAAGATAAGGCTTCTTTTCCTAAGTGTAGTATGTATTTTCACCAAGTCTCTCATTTTCAGGCTCTTCTAAACTAGCCTCCATCCTAGTCACCTCCTCAAACTCCTTTCACTCCTAAGCTTAATGGCTTTACACTGCTCATTCTCTTTTACATTTGGATTCACTTCACTGATACCTGGTAATGTCCCTTGGCGTCTAATACTCAAAGAATATTCTAACTATCCTAATTGCTTCGCTATGTTTCTAATTACTGCAATTTATATTTATAATTGATTTCCTATTTACAAGGTTAATTCTTCCATTGATACATTTTTTTAAAATTATGAATTGGAGATGAATCCATGTGGATAAATTGGTCTTAGTTTTATAACTTTAATTCCCTGATTATTTCAATTATTTAATGAGTTCTATTGGGTCACTACAATACTAAGTGTTTTCTTTATTTTGGTCATTATTCCAGTTAAAGTTTGGGTGATTCTTCCAACCAGCATCGTAAGTATTGAAATATGAGTTGTTGAGTATATTATTTATTACATTCATTAACTTCACATATATAATATTAGGATCTCCTAACCATCCATAGGCATTCTCATTAATTATTAGTGATGCTAGAATTGAATTCAAATCCAAATTGCTAATTTCTTAGATATAACCACTACTGTAAAGTTAAAATATATAACACATCTTTCTCATATATGCTGGCCACCATGCATGTTAGGGTTAGCTAATTCAGAAGAAAATTGGAAAACATTATTTGTCATCCCCTCAATTAGTGCATAGGCCTTATCAAATGGCTTTGACGTTAAGGCCTTCCTGCTGCAAAATCTATTGTAGAACTCAATGAACCCATCGACCCTGATAAAATGTCTAAATAATTAACCAGTCAGGAAAGAAGATCCTCAAGCCTCACCTAGGCTTCATAAATCTACTCACTATTTATTTAGGTAAAGGAAGTAATGTCATTTCTAAGTTTGAAAGTTTTGAATAGGGGAATGTATTTCACTAGTAATTTCTATGCAAGTTCATTCCTGATAGTGATAGATAAAGGAGGTAAGGAATTTAATCACATCTTAGTGTTATCTTTAAGAAAAAATTGAAATAACCTAAGCCTCACAATGAGACACCATTATATTTTAAGATCACACAAAATTCCTGTAAGATAGTTATATATAATTTTGGGCCTTTGATAGAAAAACCTTAGAACTAATTATTTTGTACCATTTATACTTTTGCAAGTTCGAGTTTAGAGGTGTTGGCTTGAAAGTTAGGCCGATTGATACTTTGATATATCTCATCTATCACTGGATTAACAAAATCTCTAAGTGGTCCAGGCTAGTTATTCTCTCCTTAAGGGTTTGTCGTTGTTACTAAGATGTTTTTGGTCTTTCATTAATTTATAATTTTTTAACTGCTCTTTTTATCTCAGCATTAAGTGATATTACATTAATAGTTTCATTCCTACAATACAACTAACAAGTGACCATAAACTAACAATCATAGTAATAAATAAAGTTTATGAAATAATAAATTTACAATAATTACAATGGCAAAATAGAGTAGCACAAGATAATATTAGCCACTATGACACCATCAAAATAGCTTTGCAGTGTTTGCAAGGTAGCATTGACACTACAAAACTCAAATTTTCAAAAAAATAATCATAAAAATTCCTAGTTTTGAAGCAACAAGATTATAATAACATGTGACATTGGAAATAAAACAAGTAACAACACTAGTGACAATATAATAATGAACCTACACACCAAATATTCAACTAATATTAAACTAAACTAAAAAAAAATTAATATCTTCCTCATACAACTGTGCAAAAATTGCACACATTAATTATGTAAATATATATGTCAATGAAGTAGTATATAAATCTTTTTAGTCAGACTTATCGACCCCTCGAGGAATGTATCATTTCTCAAATTAGCTTAATTATTAGTCTACTGATCCTTAGATTACTCTGAAGACACTTGATTTTTGAATTCATTTTTAAAGATTTTAAATTTTAAAGTGAAAAACTAAAGATAGGTATGTTACTAATGCTAAAAACTCTCCTCTATATTGGTTTATGCAAAGTGTAAGTTCCATAACTAGTTTTTCTTTTGTAGTTGACAATCAGGGACAATCACTTCTTATTCTCTTTTGAGATATAACATGTGTTGGAGTTTCATATTATAGTTAAAATGTCTTAATCCTATAAAAAACTCTTAGAAATCATTATTCCCCTAAATGATTGCAAAATCATAGTACTAGTAGTTATCTCATTCCAATAAAAAAATTGTGTTTTAACGTAGTTTTGCTTCTATTATTCTTCTAATATTCTTATATTACAGTATATGTTAACAAATCAAATGACTGGTTTGAAGAATAAATGAAGAATGAAAAGTTAAAACATCAAATTTTATGTTTAATTGCTAAAGTGTTTAATATGATTCACTTAGTTCTTTAAAACTAATTTAAAGAAGAAATTTTTTAGCTTCTACTCATGAATGGAAAAGTAAACATAAGGTTTATTTAAATAGAAGCAAAGTTTACAAATAAAAAGAGATAAAAATCAAGAGATTATCCTTGCTCCCAATTAAGCTCGTCTTCCAAAGTGTTTCTCCCCTTTGCTTTCCTCTTAATTTTCTCTCAATACAAGTTTTCTCACTCACCACACTCT